GCATGTTTCGTTGATAACGTTGTTGTTTTTGCGAACAATGTAGTTCAGAAATGTTAGGTTTATGAAGCAAAATATTGATAGTGTTTTTTGTTTGCTTTCTGTATTTTTCATTTAAATTTGGGAGAAAAACAAACGATGTTAATTGAATCGAGAATTGTTTAGGAAAGAGGCATTTTTTAAATGCTGAATTGTAATTGAAATAAGTTGAAATTGGAGCAGAATTAGGACAAAGCGGTTTACAGATCTTATCATCTTTAATTTTAACGGCTTTTTAAAGCTAAAAGCACAGCGTATTTTGTTTTTGGCAGCCTTCGCAGAATTTGAAATTTGATTGATTTTCGACAGGATTGGTGCGTGCAGGTCTGTTGGATCCTTCTTTTTTGCTTGTTTTCAGTTCTCTTATAATCGGTAATATATGCTGCTGCTTTCTGGTTGTCTGATGTTTTTTCCATTTTATCGCACCTGTCCTGCGTTTTTTTTGAGACCAACTTTTGATTGAGTAATTTAAAAAGAAATAAGTTTCATTCAATTATTCATTTGTAATTGTTTTTTAGACAATTTATTGTTGCTAGGCTAGCAAACGGATAAGTGGAAAAAAAAAATGCGAAAAGTATGGTTTATTTCAAGCGGTTATACGTATGTGTGCACCGAAACACTTTCTTTAGCTCGATATGCCTGCAACGTTACCGTTTTTTGATGTTGGAAACTAAAGTAGGTTAAAAGTTAAAGGTCGTTTCAAGTTTTATCTTTAATGGTCGTTTTTACTTTTGATGAAATAGTTAGTCAACTTCCTGTGTCGATGGTTTCAACGCACATTTTCCCCTAAATTTTTTTCTTTAGCTTTTGGTTTAAGGGAGTTAGTGGCAGAAAATAGGAAAAATGATATTTTAGTTGATTTTAAATTGTATTTGAAATTGGTGTATTTTTGTTTTAACTCTCTTTGACCGTTAGTTCTTTTTCACTGAATAGTTATTTAATTAATGTACATTCTTGTGAATTTGAGTATGCGTCTGTGTCTGTGTGTATACATATGTGTGTGATTGTTATCCGAGCTGATCGGTTTTAGTCTAGCTGACATTTAAATTTTGGCTCCTGTCAATAAAGTTTTGAACTGAATTTAATTTTCTTGTTGTTAGTGTTGAAAAAAGACGTGAAAGTGAAGGAATGCGTTTTTTTTTATTCCCCTAAAATTTTTGAATAGAAGTTAAGAATTTTGATCTTATTGACTAAAGGTTGTTAGTTGTTCATTTCAGCTGGAAAAAGTTTTTTCAGTATGAAATTTAGGAAAAAATAAAATTGCGATTAAAAAGTTGTTAAATATATGTTTGACTGATTCCGTTGACAGCGGACTCTTTACTTTCTTAGAATTGTGGAGGAAGAAAGTTGTTTAAATTGACCTCTGTAGGGATAGAGCTATTGTGGCTTAAGAATTTAACCCTGTTCCTCTTTATGTTTGTTCAATTGATTTGTTAGTTTGCAAAAATTTCAATCAAAAAAAGAAAAAACATTTTTCTTTTTGCCCTCGTTTTTTTAATTCACTTTTTTTTTTGCCTTTATTCTTGCATGTTTTATTGCCATCACAGTTGTGTGTGCAAGTCCTTTCATGATGGGTCTACGGGAGAATAGATTTGTTTGAATAATCAGGAGAAACTGGGCAAAAGAGTACTTTTCTCGTCGATAACTGTGGTGTTCATTTACTACTTACAGCTGCGATAGTTCATTATTGTCACTAATGGAAATAGGGTATTTGGTTTAAAAAGTGAAATGTAAAAATTCCACAGCATTTGTTTATCTGTTTGTTTGTTTTGAAAAGCGTATAAAAGTGTAATTTTAGGGCAAAAACTACATGAAAGAATGCTTGTTAATTTTTTTTTTTCCCCGGTTATATCGCTGGATGATGACTGCTGACAGAGTTTAGTGTTTTAGAATATTAGTAAGTGCATTAATTTACTCTTCACAGTTTGTCCACCTAGGTGTTAATTGTATTAAAACAATAGTAATGTCACTAATAGTAGTGGTAATGTTGTTACTGTCACAACTATTAATTGTGAAATTGTAACGTTACGAAATGCTGTCGGTGAATTTAGGTGTTGGAACAGTGTATAATGATTTTGAAATCAATTTCCGGTGAATTGTGTTTTGTAAAAAAAAAAATTTTTTTGATTAAAACACAAGATTTTACGCTTTTATTTATGTGTTTCATCTGGTTAATAGAAGATTTTTTGTTGATTATATTTACATTGAATGAAAATTTGCGTTAATTCTGTCAGTGATAGTACAGATTGATTTACTTGTGAAAAAAGAAGCTATTTTGATTTCTATGCTATCTTAACCGGTAGAGAGAACTAGGACTTAGTACAGCGACGTACGAAAAAAGGAAGTTTTTTGAAGTGTTTATTTTGAAGCGGGTTAGTAGTGTAAGTGGTACTGATTATAACAGATATTCT